ACATCCTGCGTCAGCGCTGGATGGAATAAAAGACAATTCCTTGTTAAATTTTGAACACCAAAGGCGACACGCTCTGGTCCTGTAAAGTCGTCTGAATCCACACGTGGACCAGTGACGCGGCCAATCACCGAAAACATTTATAGTTCCGTTTCTTTTGTCTGTTTCCACACAATTACTCTGTGTCTGAGCAACCTTTGCTAAAAACTACAGCCCGCAGCTGTTCTAGAAAATTATTGAGCCCTTTGTAAAAATGAAACTATGTATTCGTGGCCCTTTTTATAGAAATTTATGGCTTCAGTTGGAACTGATGGGCTCGAGGCAGAATGTCACAGACAGGGTAGAGATGTCAGAAAGTAATGAAAGCTGGGGCTGACAGGTTGTTGGTTTGGAGGTTTCACAGGATTTGTTGTCAACAAGAAAATGATACATAAACCCCAGATTTATCCCTTAATTTAATGTATTCAGTGGATCATGCATAGACAAGCACTGAGATCCAAGTATCAACTATCCAATTTAAAGATAAGCTTTTTGAATGAACGAGGATGTTTAGTCTCCTGATTGTTCATAATCATGGCTGGATTTTGCAGTTCAAACTTTCAGACTTATAATAGATTAAATATTGTCTCCACAGACCTCATTTTCCCCCCAAGACCCCTGTGTGAAGAGACTGGCATCCACTGTGTGAACAGGCATTAGGAAACCCTCTGATTTAACACCTTCAGAGGTACGCATGCTAGATTCACATGGACAGAATGGCCCTTGAGGGTTTTGCTGCATTACGGACAGCTTTGCTTCACATGTTCTCATGCAGGCGATGCACACACTGTTCAGCTGCATGCAAGCCATAGGAAAAGCCCAGCTGTCTCACATTTAATTTTTCAAGACGTGATCAAGAGCTGTGGAAGATTGTTATATTTCATATTACAAACGCAATGGTTGTGAAATGCTGAGAGCTGCATCAGGACAAATTCAGAATAGTTCCGTTTTAAAAAGCACTTGACTTGCACTGAAGAATAGTTGAGCATCAAGTAAACCAGAGGGGATACTGACAAGCAGCTTTCATCCTGCATATTTAACGAGTCTGTTTAGTCTTAAACTGCCATGACTGAATATTTTCATACATTTAATTACTTAAATCCAGTGGGCTGGTCAAATGAAAGCTTTGTGTAGTTTTGTGGTCAATTGTAAAACAAGAAATGCCATTTCTGTAACATTTCCAATGTCTTTTTTCTTAAGATGAAAGGCCAAGCTCCCACTCCTATTAAAGAGGTGTTTTTATAACAGGTTATATCACTGGGCTATAAACCACAAGGACACCTGAGCTACAGGACTGAGGTCAGGTGGTGGTCTAGGTGCTGTGACCTGGGCTCTGCAGTTCAAGCGAGCAGCACCAGAATACCTGTTCATTCTCATCTAAACAGCCAGAGTGACCTTGTTTATTAAAATGAGTTTGTCAAAGTCGAGCAGAACACCGGAAGTATTAGGAAGAACACAGCTCAATCTACTGGGGAAAGCGGCCCAGTTACTTAGGAGGGGACAGTTTGTCGTGAAACACTTGTTCCTCTTTGTAGCTGATCACAATTAGAAAGGCAAATGATAAATTAAAAGAATCGGTTGCCATGGAGTTTCAGGGATTCTGCGAAATCCCCTCTCAGAAGCAGCTGGCAGCATCTGCTGAGGAAATTCAACTTTACACAGTTAAATCCAGTGCAGTGGAAAACATGATTTTCATCATTTTTTTGTATTTTCTACCTGCACAGGACAGAGTCAGAGTCAGAGTCAGAGGTCATATTAAGTGGCAACATCCCAATTTCCCTGCAGGAATCATTAAAGTTTAATCTAATCGTCTGAGCGACTGGCTCTAATTGAGGAAACAAAGGGATAATAATTTAAGCCTGAGTCTTTTCCGGTGTGGCATCGCAGGAGAGGATTTTTCTCCCAGTCATCTGTTCAGGGACAGTGATTTGAAAATGAGGTGACATGAGCTGACCACAAGCAGTCACTCTGTCATCTGGCGGTGTTTTCTATTTGTGTCAGGCAACATGTGTTTCTCATGATGGGACCTGACACCTCCCCCGGAGCAGCACGGAGCATGATGAGCGACAAAGTGGAGAGGCTATAGGAGAAACAATTTCACGCCGACCGCAAACTACGCTCTGATCCACTAAAATGTCAACAGATAATGTGTGAAATTTGCAAGATGGCAGAAATGTTTAAGAAAAGTCCATCTTGTGCATTTACAAAATCAAATTTCCCCCTCTCCTCACTCTCAAATTGACTGTGTTGTACTTGAGTGCACAGTATGTGCTAAGTCACTTTGACCTCTGCATATGCTGTATGTCTGGAACTTAGTTTTTCCCCGGGCTGAATGTCTGGGTGAAATGGATTTGCTACTCAGGATTAATGGGAAGGGTTTTACCATATTGTGAAGGGTTACTTAACAAATACAGTTCATTCAGAAAGTCTTCAGACCCCTTCAGGTTTTTTCAAATCTCGTTATGTTCCAACCTGCATGCTAAAATAGAAAATAATTTTTACCTCATCAATCTAAACTCAATACCCCATAATGACACAGTGAAAACTGAATTTTCAAATTTTTTGCAAATTTTTTGAAAAGGAAAAACTGAAATATCACATTGACATAAGTATTCAGACACTTTGCTATGATACTTTAGCTCAGGTGCCTCCCATTTCTCTTGATCATCATCTGAGATGTTTCGACACCTTGATTGGAGTCCACCTGTGGTAGATTCAGCTGATTGGATGTGATTTGGAAAGACACACACCTGTCTGTATAAGGTCTCACAGCTGACAATGCATATCAGAGCTAAAAACCAAACCATGAGATGGAAGGAACTGCCTGCAGAGCTCAGAGTCAGGATCGTGTCGGGGCACAAATATGGGGAAGGCTACAAAAATGTTCAGCTGCATTGAAGGTTCCCAGGAGCACAGTGGTCTCCATAATTCTTAACTGTTCTGCAGACTCATATGTACAGTAGGTTGCGGGCAGGAGTGGTATGAGGACCATACGTTACTAAGGGATCTTATAACTGTCTGAAACAGCTATAAAAATGGCACTAGTGTCTTTTCTTGCTAGATTCCCTTTGACAGAAATAAATGAAAGTGTGTGTGCGCACACACACACACACTCATGCAGACAGGGATGAGAGTTACCAATTTCATTGCTTATTCAGACCATACACATAGAGAAAAGGTTTGGAACAACCAGGACTCTTCCTAGAGGACAACCATCACTGCAGCACTCCACCCATCTGGGCTTCATGGCAGAGTGGCCAGACGGAAGCCTCTCCTCAAGTTTGCAAGAAAAAGCACCTAAAGAACTGATTGTCCTTCTGGAAGTTTCTCCCATCCCCACACGGGAGTTCAGCCAGAGTGACCATCAGGTTTTTGGTCACCTCTTGTACCAAGGCCCTTCTCCCTTATTTGCTCAGTTTGGCTGGTTGATTAGCTCCAGGAAGAGTCCAAACTTTGCAGCAGAAATGTGTTTGTAGTCTTCCCCAGATCTGTTCCTCAACACAATCCTCTCTCTGAGAGAGGCCCTGCAGGCAGTCCCTTCCTTTTCTCTGATATGCATTATCAGCTGTGAGACCTACATAGACAGGTGTGTGCCTTCCCATATCATGTCCAATTAACTGAATTAACCACAGGGTGGACTAGAAACAGCTCAAAGATGATCAAGAGAAATGGGACGCACCTGGGCTAAATTTCAAGCGTCATAGCAATGTGTCTGAATATTTATGTCATTGTGATATTTCAGTTTTTCCTTTTTAATAAGTTTGAGATAAATTCTAAAATTCTGTTTTCGCTTTGGCATTGTGGGGTATTGAATTTAGATTGATGACGGAAAAAATGATTTTCTTTATTCGAGGATGAGGCAGCAGAAATGTGAAAAAACCGAAGGGGTCTGAGGACTTTCTGAATACACTGTATGTTGTGCTTGAATTGAATTGTACCAACTTTTGCTCATCGTTAATTTGTAATGTTTTACTGTACGCGAATAAACAGACATTAGTATTAGAAATTTCATTGCATTGCACTATAGCTGAAGTAAATGTGAAACAGACGAGTTTAAGATTCCAGCTGCATGTTTAAGATTCTAATGGCTTATCTGATGTTGGATTGAGCTCTCCATCTTGGAAGAGTGGTTTGGCGGTTGCAGACCCCTTCTGCAGAGAGGTGGCCGAGGAATCCATGTGGCATAGATAGTGATGTAGTATGTGCAGCAGCAATGAATCACTGGGAGACAATGCCCCTCTCTCAGCCTGAGCTGTTTGCAGATGCACATTCATTGAAAAACACGGATTAGATGGAAAACTGCTTTGGAATCATTAGCGTGGTGCAATACAGAGACAAAGTCAACCCTGAAGACTGCACCAAAATCTACCTGTTGTATCTGCAACTATTTGATGCATTTCCAATATGTTTGTCTTTTAATCATTAATCATTCATACAATGTGGCAAAGCAAAAGTTGATCATAAAGACCAGTCACTGTAGTTTGTATTTAATAAGGGAGATTTTTGTCAGGTAAAGAACATTGAAATCTGATTCTGCACACAATTGTGAAGATCAGCTGTGACTGAGAGGCAAGAAAAAAAAAACACAATTTCAAACTTATCTTGACTTGATACTCGGTCTTTCACTTTCAAGAGTATTTTCCTCTTACAATTCAAGAACCTCCAAAATTTATTTTTAAACTTACTCAGTCGGATGAAAAATGCCAGCAGGTGTGGCACCTATAGGGCCTATTCTGAAAGCACAGAGGTAGACGCTCGTGCACACGCGCGCACACTCACATATGACTCATCTCATCTAAACTAAAGCACTTTGTCAGAGGCGTCCATTCACGTTACACCCATGCAAGAACGCGCAGACTCAATCTCAGCTTGGAGCGCGACACTTATAGTGAGGTTGGCTATATAAGTCCATTCAGCATCTACTCTTTAAGTAACTATATACTTGTTTCTTCAAAGAAGTGAAGGAGGGCGGCATCTCGCCAACTACCTGGCAACCTACACGGCTGTACTGGACCTCCTCTAAAGACTGAAGGTATGAAAAGCTTCATTTATTTTATCCACATATGTGACATATTCTCTTTTCCTCGGCACGACTTGCGCTTTGGTTTTTACAAACGTTTAGAGAAATGTTTTTTTCCAGATTACAAAGTGGATTTTAGTCCTCAGTAATCGCATTGTAATTTCAAACTTGATTTTATTTCATAGTAATGGAAACAAGTGTAACGTCAGTAAAGGCAATAATAGTTTAACTTCCACAGTGTATCCATTAATGAGCCAAAGATACAGTATCTCTTTACGCGCAAATATTGCACAGTTTCAGAGACCCATCCGCATTGCTAATAGACATGAGGGTGAATCACAAAATGTTTTACAACAATAAATAAACTCTTAACACTTTAATTCGTTGTTACCAACCCGTTACATTATTGCTGTGCCTGTTTTACGTGCGTAAATTCGTCTTTACGCATCACATTTCACACTAGAGTTAAATTGAAAAGCAAACATATCACATGAAAATAATCCGGGGATTTCTTTTGCTTCTCAGATTCCTGTTGATATCCTGACATGAAGCTCAATTTACTTGGTACCACCGTGATTCTGCTAGTTGCCTTCTTACCGCGCTACGAATGTCGGGCTATTGAGAGCCCTGGCGGTGCTCTGCGCGTCCCAGCTCCCCAAACCCAAAACTCCCAGCAGCAGCAGCAGCAGCAGCAGCAGTCTGGTCCCATCCTGGAGCGGCTCGGAGAGGAGTATTTCATCCGACTGGGCAACGGGGACTCTAACTCTTTCCCATCATCGTCCATGTATCCCGGCGGATCACCTGCCATCTACAACAGAGCCTTGCAACTCCAGCTGACGCGGCGTCTTTTACAAGGGAAAGTTGGGAACATCAGGGCGCTTATCAGCGGCTTCGGAGACCGCGGGGACGAGTCGATGGAGAGGGGAAGGAGGTCCGAGGATCCGCCGATATCCCTGGATCTGACCTTCCACCTGCTTCGGGAGATGATGGAGATGTCCAGGGCGGAACAGCTGGCCCAGCAGGCGCAAAATAACAGAAGAATGATGGAGCTCTTCGGGAAATGAAGACCTCTTTCCAGTCCGCCAAAGATCTCCTTTCCCTTTCTTTACTTTCTTTCTTTTTCTTTTTCTTTTCTTTCTTTCTTTCTTTTTGCATTTTTACCATCAGCACAAAACATGCTCTGTACAATATAGTGCTGCTGTATCACTCTATTATTTATAGCTTTAACCTCAAACTATGGAGCATAAACGGGCTTGACTTATAATGATCCGATTGTACCCTGCCATTTTAATGTTGGTGTCAAATCTGTGGAATTACACGTTCTTCACATTTGAGATGACATATTTCTGTTTAAGACATGAAATACTGCATTGACAAAATTGGCATTCTGTTTTGGATTATGGATCACTGTATTTATGATATTTATGTTTGTTAATAAACTTATGTGCAACCAGTCATTTTCTGTTGTGCAAGAGAACGTCTTATATCTATATTTTTTAATAAAAAATTAAAAGCAATGCTTACACTTCTCTGTTGACATCCTTACAAATGAGTTAATAATAACTCCCATGAAAACAAACTATTCCCAGCTACTTTAATTACTAATTTGATTAAGATACACTTTCCAACTGTTTCTTGACATACAAATTTGCAGATTGAAGAAATGGTTAAAGGTAAAACACAATTGGAGCGAGCTCAAATGACCACTGCATCTTGAGACTTGCCTACACAGATATCGATTGACTGAGAATGTTTTTTCTATCTGAATACAAAAAATCGTACACGTGTGTAACCATGGCATTGCTCTGGAGCCAAGTCGTGGGTTAACACAGTGCCTCCTCTCCAATACACACACACACACACACAAAAGCTGTAACAACAAAAAATTAACAGAAGGCTGCTGTTAAGAGCGGCTGCAGCCATGCAGGTGAAGAACATTCACACAGCATCCTTTCTCCTAAACCCTTAATCCTCAAGAGGCAATTCTCATTATACCAGCAAAAGACAACCACAGACGGCTCAAAGAGGCACCACTGATAGCTAATGAGTGTGAAAGACACTGTGTGTGTGTCTCTGTGTACGTGCATGCTGTGTTGATCCTTGACCCACAGTGTCAGGGTAAACTAAACAAGAGCTGTGGATGTGAGTCATCCTATTCTGTTTGGCCCACTTAGCAACTTGGGGCTTAGCGCTGCATTGAGCCCATTTGTAAAGGATCCAACTCAGTGAGAGATGGTGTACAATAATTAGATGGGACTACATGGTGGACTACCTCAATAGTGGAGTCACAGCAAGGTGAGACCATGGCAAGGCAGCAAATACATGAGTGACAGCCTGAGGCTCACTGCAGCCTCATCCGTACAGTAGGTTGCGGGCAGCAGTGGTACGACGGCCATACATTACTGAGGGATCTTATAACTGTCTGAAGCAGCTATAAAAAGAGCACTAAGGCCTTTTCCAGCTAGATTCCCTTTGACAGAGATAAATGAAAAAGAAGTGTGAAGAATAGATAAAGGGAGGGAGAAAGAGAGTAATAAGTCTTTTTCCTTTACACATGCGCGCACACACACACACAGACACGGATGAGTGTTACACAAAATCTATTTCATTGCTAATTCAGACCATGCACAGACCTGAAGCAGAGCGACACGTGTGGCAGGAAGATGAAACTGAGGGCTGTTGTTCTGTTTGTTAATCTGGTAACAACCAAGACTTGAGAAATACTTGAAGTTGTTTGTACAATTCAGTTTTAATGACACATATAATAAGCCGTAACATTGCAAAATGTGACATTTTGTCTGTAATAGGAAAATATACCTGTGTTGCACAACAAAGAATATGATCACATAATGCAAGCCGGTTGTATGTATGAAATACTGAAATGTCACACTGACAGTTTTTTGCTTGGGCTACCCTACTCATAAAGTTATATCAGTCATTAAAATATACGACAGCGAGGAAAACCTGACGCACTCTCGTCTATCTGTCTAATGATGTAGTTTAAGCTGGGAGTTGGAAAAGGTCAGCTACATAAAAAATGAACTTGACCATATCTGAATTTTGGAAATAAGCAATAAGCGTCACTCATAGCCTGTCTGTCATTCAGTTTATCCAGACTGAAAAGGAAGAACCAAAACATTTATTTAATAGAAAAAAAAAAAAAGCATAAGATCAGTCAGTATGAAATGATGCACGCTAACACAATCACAATAAGAGATAAAGAAGTGAACAAATACTTCTGTCTCTTCATTTACATTTACCTCAGTAACTCAGACTTTCCCTCTGGCACCGATCTAAATCTGTCTCACTGTTCCCCAATCTGGGAGAAAAAGTATCACAATTGACCTGAAATCAACGTCTAGGAGCAACACTTATCCTGCTCCTGGTTTAGGTGTCGTCTGTGCCAGCGGCTGACAGCTAGGTTGAGGCTGCGCTGGGGGATGAGTTTATCTGCTGGGGGGGAGTAGGTTGGACGGAGGCGGCTGTAACAGCACTGCCTCCAGAAACAGTCTGGGCCCCCTCTCCTTCCTCAGCCTCTACCTCTTCCGCTTCATCCTCGTCATCCTCGTCTTCATCATCTGTAAACGGAACAAGGCGGTCAGATAACTGAGCTATACGCAGTAAACAGCAGTCGTGACCAATCTCTGTCCTTTCACCTTCGATGAAGTCGATGCCGCGCAGGGCCTTGCTCTCTTTCTTGAAGTCGACGTTGTAGTGATCCATATTCTCATAGCCGCGCTCAACTTTATCCAAGTGCGCTGTACTGGATGCTTCTGCAATCCTGAGTGCAAAAGGTGCAATTAGGGTATTTATAGGACAAATTCACCCTCAGACAGTCAATGTAGCACTTGTTCCATATCATCAATCTGTGATGTTTAGCACATTCCACAAGTTATTTTGGGATGCCACTGCTAAAGACAGGGATTTGCTACATTTCACAGAATTACTTTCTGTGAAGCTTCCAGACAGCAGGTGTAACCTTGCTCGCTGCATTAGGCTGGTGATTTTATGTGTAGGTTCTGATATAAATGTGATAAATGACTCACTAGAAAATTAAAAAAAATAATAAAAAAAACTGAAAGAATAAACAGGCGCTAAAAAAGAAAACATATCCAGTAGTAGTGTTTAACAGTGTTAAGTTAGAAATATGTCACCTTCTTTACATAGCAAACATACTGTATTTCTCCTTACCCATTGTAGGTGTAATTATGGATGCATAAAAACATGTACTAACTTTTTGAGGAGAGGCTTTGTGTTCTGAAAGAGATAAGAGAAATAAAGACTAAATATCCATTCAGCTTATACATAAAATATCAATAAGTGTAACCATTTTATATGAAGTTTATGCCAAAATTAAAACAAATTTTGGTCACCCATTCTGACTCTGACCTGCAGGAATAAGGCCATCTCTGGCTCCTCCATGGTCTGGATCCCCTTTTCCACGATCTTACAACTCTCCTCCAGGTGGTCTCCGTACTTCCTGGTCAGGCCCCGTATATAGTTCACCTTCTCTTCCTGTTCAGCCGTCACCTTCTGACTCATCTCCCTCTTCTTCTCCTCCAGGATGGAGTACAGGTGGTCAAACTTCTCACACACCAGAGTCTTCTGCCTCCGACCATTCTCCTATACGCTCCATAAGTGAGAAATCCATAATTAATCATTCATCACAGTCCTCTGGGTGACAAATGTACTGTATGTAAATGCAACTCTAGGGTACAAGAGAGTTTAGCATATTTAAAACCAAAGATCGAACACAACAAAAGTGAGGCGATAGTTGTTGCCTTCTGTGTACGTGTGTGTAAATACTGTAAACGACAAATTTTGTGTTTAGCCTGTCTTCCGCTCATGTGGTAGTGCCATATGTGCAGGGAGGACAGTGAGGCTCATTCTGCATGTCCGTCCTGAGTGACACCACTGAGGGCGACGCATGGGGGACTGGAGCCACTCCAGCTTCCTCTCCACTAAAGCCAACTGTGGCACGTGAACCATAGGAAAGCTGTCTGTTCTCCCCCCATCAATTACACTGCTCGTTCTTAATGTCAGTGGGCCAGAGACAGGGGCGCCCTGCTAAGTGCATGAAGAAGAAAACGCGGAAAAGAGAGAGTAAGACCGACTGAGGCATCATAACATTAATTTTCCTCTCTCCACCTCTCTGTCTAAATCTCACAGACAGATAAAAAGATAAAAGCAGCGAGAGTGGTGATGACAAGGACACATTAGTCTGTCGGTACGTCTGTGCAGGTGAGTGCAGGTGCATTAGTGTGTGCACTGAGCGAGTCTTGCTGCGTGACTGAGCGGCCAGGCGCTGCAGCAGTTGGACACTGACCTCTATGGCACGACAGGCTTCCTCTAGCTGACTAATGATGCCTTGCATCCGGTCGTTGTTCCCAACCATCATGGCAATCCCGTCACTCAGCTCTGTCTGGGGGGCAATGACATGGCAGAGTAAACACCTAAAATCAAGTGTGAATCAAATCTGGGACAAAGTTTATGATGCATGTTAAATGTACATCACGATGTAAGATGGTCATATTGAGATGTTCATGTTTTCTTTTTGAGAAATGACATTATTTAGACATGATACATTTTCACAAATCTATCTATCTATCTATCTATCTATCTATCTATCTATCTATCTATCTATCTATCTATCTATCTATTAGATATTTCAGGCCTCACCTTCTTTGTCTCATAAATGCTGTTAATAGGTGCCACCTCACAATCTTTGTGAGCTCCAAAAACTTTACACATGGAGCATGTGGGCACTCCGTGGGTCACACAGAAAATATTGATCTTTTCTTCTTCATGGACATCACACATGGGCGTTTCTTCCTTTCTCTCCGGCTCTGGCTTGCTGCTGTCGAGGTGTAAAGAAAACAGGGTTACCTTCTAGATTAATGTGCATAATGATGTGATGTATAATGTCAGCTTGATAATGTCAAAGGCACACATGTCAGTAGCTTACGGATGATCCATCACATGATCTGTCAGCACTGTAATCAATACATCAGCATTACACTTACACTGTGCATTATACAGGTGTGGGTGCAGATTGATTGATTTTTTTAATAGTTTCTGCCTTTTCTGAATAACTCAGACCAACATTTTCAGGACTATTCATCCCACAAGAATTACTCAAGGTATCAGTTAATTGTCCATAAAATATGTTATTTCCCACATCATCTTGATCCATACTGAGGTTGAGCATCCTGGGTTTGTGAGTGTTGTGGATCTTATGTCATACAAGCCTTTTGGCTATACAGTCAACTACTCACATTAGGGAAATCATCTGTGTAGACATATTACTAAAACTAGAAAACCTCTTGGCACCCAGTCCAGCTCTCTGACTCAGACGCCACTGGCACTAAGGCCACACCAGCAACTGCTACACTTCGTGCCATCACACCACCAATTTGTCCTAATTCTCCTTTACTAGCTTTATTCACTGCCCCCATGGGTAAAGGCAACTTTGACTGATAAACAAAGCCTGTCACTGAGCAGTCAAGGTGTACAAGTGCTGATAATTTCCTTTGATTTTGTGTTATATTAAGAGAGACTGAATGTGTGTCTGATCTGCCTCACCTGCTTGACTCCTGCTTGAACATATCAATAATATTTTCAACAAGCAGATTCCTCTGAAGCCCGTAAACACCATGCCTGTCCAGGACCACCTCGTGTCTGCAGGATGGGCATCGGAAGCGGCCACCAGACGTCAATGAGCCACTTCTTGTTGTGGGAAGGTATGGGTTTGAAGCCTGTAAGCAGTTAAACATTTAAAAGCCCAATATTTAGTATGATGACACAGGGTTTTAATGGATACATTCATCTCACCTGTAAAATTGAATTTAAGCAGTTATGAAATGTTAATCCAAGGGACTCCATATTACAAAAGTGTAACCCCATCACCAAAATGTTCACATTGGTTGAGAAGTGTTTTAGGGACCACTTAACAACAACTAAATCCAAGTTCTAAATGTTCACTGATGTTCAATGATTTTTTTTTACATTAATGTTTGTAAACACAGCCTTAAATGTTTGTTTATGATTAGCTGTGACACATAAAGTGCTTATTTTCTGACTAAACCTATACACTTTCATGTTAGACTATACAGTACATCTGTTATATATGTCATGTAGTTACTATCTGAATCTTTACTACATCAAAGATGTAGGGCAAGTAAAAATACCGATGGGTCAAATGACAGACTGTTAGCTGGAGATGTTAATACAGAACAACACCGCTATTTGAGATTATAAATATGTTTCCCATAATGTTCAAAACAAATCAGTGGCATTTTGTTCAATTCCTTACCTGGAAAACATCATTGGCACATTTTCTGCAGAGGTTGTGCTGGCAGGGTAGGATGACCACAGGTTTTGTAAACATTTCCAAGCATATGGGACAAATCAGCTGTTTCTCCAAGTTATCCATGGTATTCATTTTGAAACAAAAACGTTTATCCAAGCATAAAAGAGTGGCAAAACCTAATTTAACAAAACTACAGGTAAAGTTTCTCGTCCGTTTCTAAAATCAATCTACGGTAGGCCTAGAGTTAGGCTGGAGAGTGGGCCTGCTGCTCTTGTCCTAACGGGTGTGGGCTCCTATCTTGCTGGTGTCAGTTCTGTTTTTAGCAGCTATTGCTGTCATGTCACAGGTTGCCATTTTTACCTTGCCCATATTTGAAACTGTGTAGGGCAGTACTGAACAGCTGCCTACCAGACTCTACACTGCTATCAGAGGTGACTGGGTGATGGTACAGAGTGTGTGTGTGTGTGTGTGTGTGTGTGTGTGCGCGCGCGCGTGTTATCAGCTGCAGTATGCTCAGTGTCAGCTATAGTATGCTAACAATTAAATGAAGTCATTTTAACGTAATTTTAATGATGCATCTGTGCTTAAGCGCTCATGTAACAAATATGTTTAAACAATGGACGAATAGCTGTATTTATAGAAAAGGTATACACTCAAAAGTCAATATCTGTGCTAAGCCCAGACATAAGCATTAAAGTTAAACATTTATCTATTCGATGTTAGCCTGACGCTAATGCTAACTTTTTAAGAAAACGAGACACGTGACGGGGACACACTTGCTAGCTCCATCACAGGTGATGCAAGTTGTCCAAAGCGACAAATATCCGATCTTCCAATCAGTAATTCTTTACACCAAGATGACAATGCCTACTAGAAGGTATGTTACAACAAACGCAAATTACAGCTGGAATGGAAAGCAGTAATTTACTTAGCATTGAACAAATTGTCGCGTCTGTAAAATTAGTAGGTACCAAGTTTTTGTCTAGTAATAGTTAAGCTAGCTAGCTCTTTGCACTTGCTAACGAAAACTAGCTTAATGCTATCACACATGAGGGTTGTGTCTAACCTTGGTTGTATGTTACTCCATTGTTAAAATAAGCAGTTAAGTAAATAAATTAAAAACAACCCGATGTGAAGGTAATACTTTGATATGAATTGGTACAATTTTATGTAAACAAAAAAGAGCTTTGGAGAATGCGGGCATCGATCCCGCTACCTCTCGCATGCTAAGCGAGCGCTCTACCATTTGAGCTAATTCCCCTTCGAAACTAGCTCTTTCTGGCGCTACTATTTGAAATTAGCCGTTCATCGTTGTCTGGACAGTAGTTTGTCCTCATATTGCTCTTTTATTTGTTGTTCAGTACCTGAAGAAGTTTTTTTGTGTTATGCAGAAAGGTAAGGTGAAGCGCTAGCTAATTTAGCTACGTTAATGCCAACAGCAAACTAACGGTAGCTAAACAGAACTTAACTTTAACGTTCATTCGTGATTTAATTGCATGAGCTGTTCATTGTTTTCGAAGCTTGTTAAGTTCACGTCTCTGTAATGTGACATTAATGACAGGGTCTCCTTGAACACGGCATAATTTCAACGATTTCGCATAAGTCGAGGTCATTTCAGCTGGAGCGAAATATAGCGACGAAAGCGAAACTGCGTTCATTCGATGTCGTTCGTCTTTGCTCGTGTATGTACACGATTCTTAGTATGATTTCATAAGATTACAGGTCCATGTTGTCGAGCAGCTCCCTTCGATAGCTCAGTTGGTAGAGCGGAGGACTGTAGCGGATACATGGTAATCCTTAGGTCGCTGGTTCGAATCCGGCTCGAAGGAGAGATTCTTTTTCCCATAATGCAATTGGTGTTTTCCCATAGCTGCGCCAAATAAAGGTAGTGTAATTAGAAACGGTGCTAAACTCTTTACATGCCAGTGTTTTGTATTGACAAATAAGTTAAAGACAGTGTACTCTGCAAAGAAAAACAATGATTGCATTGGTTTGATGATGTGTCACTAGAAAAACTACACCAGAAAAGACGTATATCAGTTTCTTGTTTTTTATTATTATTATTTTGTTTAGCTATTCATACAACTATATTCAGCTTAACTCATACTATAGAGAATTCACAGTCTGACACATTTCGTGGTTTTCTCCAAATTGCTAAAGCAAATATAAACTTACTAGGGAGAATTTGAAAGCAGTGCCTAATGTGATGTCATTTTCTGTTATTCTGATATTATAGATGACAAAAACAGAGTCTTTATATCGAGTAAAGATTTTGAAACATCCTGATCATCAATTGCCTGACTACCCTCTGTTAACCTAGCGAAAATTAAACATTTGTTGACAGAATGAGTAGAACCTTTGGTGAAACAGTTTTTCACTGTCAGACAAGAAGGCTAGTGTACAAATGTTCAGCACAGCTTTGATTGCAGTGGAAGTCTTGTCAGTAAACATACTGCATGCTCTGCATTGTTGATCTGCATGTTAAATAAAAATCACAATCACACCTGCAAGCACTCTGTTCATAAGGGAGTTTAAAGGTAATTGTTTAGAGTCTGATTTGGTTGCAACTAGTGATGAATACAAACATTATCATTTGCTTTGATTGTGAAATGGCCTATAACTGCACTGCAAACACATTCAAATGGATTACTCAGAACCAATTGTCTTTGTTTGTAATGGCGGACATGTTTCTATGTTGCTGCTCAAATGTTGTAATTATTTTACATACATCTATGAAGTCTGAGTGTCCTCTCAAGGATGGTAGATAAGTGAAATCTCTCAAAGAATGGAAATTTTGCAGTTCCTCACTGCTTAATGAAAATATTCTTTAGTTAAAAACACCAAACTTTTAAAGTTTCATGAGATGTTTCCAAAAATGTAATAACTAAAGGTATGACTTATAAACACTTGTTGTTATCTTTGTAGGTATTTGAATGGATCCAAACCTTTTTGTGTTGACTTTTTTCAGGAGGAATCTCACATGGCTCCAGATCTATAGGTGGCTGATCTTCCACATTCCTCAGAGTGCATGTCCATGGGTTTACACGTGTGGCAACAGCTCAGGCAGCAGCCACTTTCAAGGTCACAGACAACAAACAATCCCATACATGGATTAAGAGTATTGAACAATCTCCTGACAATAGACAATGGCGATAAATTCACTTCTGTGGAAGCAAAAGTGCATGAACTTCCACATTCATACAATACCTTTCATGAAAAACCAACTAGAGAACATAGAGGAGGTGATAATATTTTCCTGCCCATACTGCTCAGCTACATATAGACCCAGGAAACTGTAATTGTTGTACATTTCTCTTCTTTGTAACATCTGATAGCAATGAATGAGCATAGTTAAGATCAAGAAGGGTTGTTGTCAGGATGATATTTCAAAGCTTCATTTCTGGAAGAAAAAAAAAAATCCAGCAAAGAAACTTCCAAATTTTCTCTACACATACCAGGATAGTCTTGCTCAAGGTCACTTCAATATATAGAGACAAGAATAGCAAGGGATCAAACAATGATTAATGGACCCCTCTACTAGCTGAGCTAGTGCCACCACATATTAGTGCCCTTACTCAGGGTGTTTTTCCATTGTTGGGCTGCTCAGTACCTGTTGATATTTTAAACAAATGTTTATTCTGTACATTTCATTATTGTTTTGGGTTTTCAGGTGTCGATGTTACTATTGGACTGTCAGTACTTTGTCAAAACACTGTTACAGATAATAATAAGGTATGTTGAACTATAACCAAAGTAACTCAAGTCAAAGCAAGCATGGCATAGGATCCTCAAAGTTATGGCAGCTTGTGACCTATCTAAGCATACCTAATCTGGTTTTTCTCTGACTCATACAATATAGCATTTTCCGTCATGGCACCGCTATTCCTGGCCACATGGCTATGCACACAGTGCTTTTCACACAGGCACATTAGAGTCAGTCAGTGATTCAAATTTAAACATTTTAGACAGATGTTATCACTGAAAATGAATGAATGCCATTTTACAGCTTTCCCCCTAATATGCCTCTGTTTGTTTAATTTGGTGTGCATCCAGGGACACCGGACCACTGGTTGGGAACCACAGCTGTAAAGACACAGTAAGTATATACCAATGTAACACCTCAAAGGTGACAATCATGCCTTGAAAAGATAGCTAGACAAATAAAAATAGAATGGAAAAAATCAGCACCTTCATACCCCACTCTTAGCTATAAAGTTTCTGTGAGGTGTGTTATGTAAAACTGTGCAAATGTAGAATAGCAGACTCTTTGATTTTTAACATTATAATATATGATAAGTATAGGCATGTACATTTCACCTCATTTCTCCTTCCTGTTTATACCCTTTCCTGTGATCTGCTACAATTGATGTTTTCTCATCACTTTGTCATGCTGTGGGCATACCACTTCATTCATTTCTAATCAGTAGTTTGAAAAGGCTAAACTAGTATGATTACATACAGTATTCATTAACTATTAGCATGGACCGCTAAAACCCTTTAGATGGCTTCTAAAAGTGAATTCAGATTAGATTCATTAAGAAGATGTTCTGGGTTATGTCTTTGTGATTGAAGTGAATTCATAATTTTTAAGCCGTTAATGTCTGACTCATAATAGTGCAGTGCCTGTTAATAGAAATGTAATAAAGATTGATGATTGGCAAATTAAGAGCAGTATGGAGACTTATTAATGATGAAAAGCCAATATGAAAGCCAGACAGTGCTGCTTTTGAGGCTGTAAGCTGCCATTTTGAGCTTGGTGTGACCCTAATGTTCCTCTGTTTTGCTCAGTGGTGGCACATTGTGTTTGAGTATATAGTAAAAGCATCCGCAGGTAATTCTAAAGCCACAAAATACTCAACATGAGGTGTTACACATGCACTTAGAACACACATAGAAAGGTCTACAAGCTCATAAGCAAGATAAAAGTGCATATGGGACCAGAATAGGGAGCAGAGCAAAGGGTGCCATCTGTTCTCTAGTATGAATATTTCAGTTAGGTGGAAGTCATATTGTATTCATACAGATGGTAAGCAGTCACTGCCTGTGATTTAAAAGGTCCTGGTAAGCATCCTCAGACAATACCGTCTATTTCTGCATTTCTACATTCGTCCTAAAGAGACCCACTGAAATGAAATTCCTCAGTTAAAACCTTAACTTAGGATGTGATCAGGAAAGTTTTACCATTATACCCTAACTAACAACTAAAAATGCTGTGACCTCACTGCAAATGTAATCCTATAGAAAAAAAACTAGTAAAGACTAGTATAAATCTACTT